TCTCTCTCTCTCTCTCTCTCTCTCTCTCTCTCTCTCTCTCTCTCTCTCTCTCCTATGAGTTCACAGCCATTCACTCCACTTCATAGTATTGTTTTTTACAATTTAATCTTTTTGCTTTTATCAATTTATTTCCCATACGATGAAAACTATTATTTTGTTTGTGTTTTAAAGAAATTTATTATACATTAATTTTGTTACAAGAAATAACAAATGAATTAATAAAAATTTAATTCTCAAATGTTTTATAAATACATCGCTTACGGCATATTAGAAATGGATTTTTGTTAGAAAGCGTTTATACAGTAAATGCATTCCCAGACAACTAAACGCTAGTTCTAATCAAAATAAAATGTATTGAAAATTAATGGCATACTTATATTTATATTTATACTTAACTTATATTTATTACTATTATAGTTTTGATTACTTTTAATTTAGAATATGATTACTTAAAGTATTTATTGAAGTGCTTTTTTAATTGCATATGCATTGGCCCTAATGTGAGAATTTTTGATTGTATTGTGGCTTATATTAAGTCATATTAAAATTACAATTTTAATTCCCATAGACGTAATACAATATACTCTATAGAGATATAATCATTTAATCTGACATGTCTTGAACTCCGCTAATTAACCGATTTATCTCGTCATTAATTAAATAAATTTCAATTTAGGAATATTTTTACTTCACTTCACTCGTTGTTATACTTTATATTTATTAATATTCGACAAAAATATAACGAAAATATGTTGAAATAATATTTATAAATGGTATTTTAGTGTTGTTTCAAATATGCGTGGAATTCAATGAATTAGATTTTTGTTAGTTTTATTATTAACATTTAAATCATTAATTAATATTTGCAACAAAAATAAGCTCAATGACAATAAGAAGTATTCAAAAATAAATATCCAACAATATAACGAGCTATACATGTACATTTAAAACAAAGTTTCTTGATTAAATCTGGAAATTAGATCAAACAAAAATAAAGCCAAAATATGAACAAAAATTACAGCGAATTTAATCTTAAAACGCCTTTTATTTAACATGTTTTCAGTGAACGCCAAAAATATTTAGTTTATATCAAACTCTTTAAAGAATAAAGTTTTTGTTTTAATTAAATTGAGAATAATTTTTATTATTT